GATCTGGAATAACAGCTTAGTGAACTCTAAAAAGATTTGTCATAAAGTACAATTTAAAACAAGCTGTGAAACTTGGCTACAACCTGCTTATTTTTGCACTATAAAATTTGAATGGCATTATAAATTGTTTACATAATATTCATTATTATATTGTTAATATTTTAAAAATTATATATGGTATTTTTTTAAAAATATTTTTGGCAATTTTATTTTATTTTTTTTTGCACCACAAGTTTTAGCACAAAAAATATATATACGCTCATAGACCAAAACTTAAGGGAATTGTAACTTTAAACATGTATATATTGGGATTCAGACAATAACTCTGAAAGATATTACAGTGCCTTTATTGAAGACTCACAAGATAACCAAGTGTGAGCAAAATTTCCTTTGTCTCTTAAATAAAAGATTACTGGCGACATCAAAGACTTTCCACTTACTCAAGTTTTGTCTATGAGTGTATATGCTCTAGGGATTACCCAATCAAATGCATGTTTACAGTAGCCATCTTTAACAGTCCAAAGACTTTCACTATTGGCAATAGAGCTTCCACCCACACTTTACCAGAACCTCATTGATTCAACACCTAGCGATGATTGTACAGTAGAACAACCTCTATGAGAGGACACTCTTTCTAGAATATATCTGTTGTATATATATAGTTAAACCTGTCTATAGCGCCTCCTCTAAATAGTGCCTTCCTTTCTATAGCGCCTGATTTTAAATACGTAGTATGTTGGGTGCATGGAGGATAGAGATGGTACCTTTTTAATCTTTTCTATTAATTCTTGAAGTTTTTAAAGAGGAAAAAATATATATACTTTTATGAAGAAATTATGTTTATTTTAATAATAAAATTAAAGCAGAGAATTTTAAGATATTATACTAACATATTTACAATAGGAAAAAAACTAACCTGAGAGCATCTAGCTTCTCTGCCAAACTATTATCTTCTTTTTAACTAACAAGACATATGCAAATCCTCTATTATTGATTAATCTGGCACAAGAATTTACATATATAAATTTACAAATTTTTTACAATTAAATTTAAAAATACAAATTTTTAAACAGTAGAATTTACAAATATTAAAGTATTTAACATTTAATACAAAGATGATCACCTCCAACATAGTACGATGCTATTTACATTAAAAGTGACCTGTCTATAGCACCCTATTTTGGTGAGTCCCAAGAGGGGGCGCTATAGACAGGTTTAACTGTACATTTTAAGTTCAATTAATTAATTGTTTCCCCACAGAGTATGTGTATAAGATCACAAATAAATAGATGATAACTGTAAGAAGATAGGTTTCTCTTTTATTTTGTTCTCTCTCTCTCTCTTGTAAATCAATAATGTTTGATTAATCTTCTTGGAATCAGTATTTTTAAAAAAGTCTAAGTCAACAATTCTATATATAGTTACGAGCATCATGCGTTCTTAATAATTCTTCATCTCTGTCACCGTTTGCTTTTTTTTTGGAATGGCGCTCTCCTATTGGTTGGCTACGATCATGCCACCTTTGCCCCCCCACTCGCTTTTTGGTTTTTGTAACTATTGTGTTGGAGCGGGTCGCTCCTTAAATAATCTATTGTTAACAATACCTCATTATAGGTCCGCAAATATCGAAAGTATAGGTATGTAGCTTTTGTACTATTAAGGTGTATATATATACACATACTTATGTACATATGTAAGTACTATTATCATTAGGGATATATATGTCACATCTACATAAATGTAGATATAATACTATATACTCTACTAATATATGCATTTATATAAGGCGCCAATTTATAATTGTAACAAATAGTATTTGAATAAAAACATTCAATCGGGTAAAACATGGGCGTTGCTTGGGTCATTCGGCTAGTACCTATATACAAAGGACAGTTTTCTTTCCCAAAATGACCATTTTTTACCAATTAGCATGTATACTAATAACACTTCAGTAGGACCTCTCTCTCTAAAGGATATTTTGGTCCTGCAGCTAGATGTTGTCCTTTGCAGAGTGATTCTACTGTAACACTTGGAGTGTTGAATTAAAGAGGCTGGAATCTTAGTTAGATGCTTGTTGGCAATTTTGAATGCTGCATCCTCCACAATCCAAAATGTGCTGTTTCCATGTTGCCTGCAACTTTTGCACGCTGGTCTTATTGCAGGAAGGTTGACAGCTTGCACTCTCAGCTCCAACTTCGCACCTTGCACCTTCTGAGCTACAGGTGAGTTAGTTCTGGGTCACTGCACCTTTGTGTCTACTAGAGACCTATCTACCTGCTGGAACTGTGTGAATCCTGCTATACCGATACACTTTTTTTTGCTTATCCCTAGTACACGTGGTAGAGGCCATGATAATCATGGTGGGTAGAAGTAGGCGACTGCTTTTAACACTAAATGCACCACATGTCTACACATGTGAAAAACAGTTCAACTTTGCACTTACAAATGTGCCAGAGTCTGGTTACTTGCACTCTCTGGTGGGGTTGGACTTTTGCAAGAATCAGGGGCCATTAGAGCATTTTCTTTTTTAAATCAGAAAAGAGTGCCCAATGTGGGATTCAATCCCAGGTCGTAGCGGTCGAAAACCAATTTAGACCACCTTTTCCACTGACCCTCCCCCCCCCATTCTTTTACGTCGATCTGGTTCGATGAGCACACATGATGTTCTCTTAAATATTAATTCGCCCCATGATTATCATGGTGTACTAGGAATAAGTACCACCACTTTAAAGTTTTTACATTGAAAATGGTGATGACACAGTGGGTGTCTGAAGTTGAAGAAAGGTTTTGTGGGAGAATAAGACAGTCTGTTTACAGTGTTGTTGTGCAGGGGGAGTTTGTAGAGGACGGCACTGAGACCCACTTCTCTGTACTGGGTGTGCCGGCGTTTATCCGCGCAGTGAGCAGCGGCACCAAGCGCCAGGGCATCGTGTACAGTCTGGTGGTGAATGGAGAGTTGATCCCCCCTGACACTGCCAGCCAGTAGCTTCTCTCTCTCTCTACTAGCTCTGAATATATATAGACCTCGGTTGGCCACTGGTCATTTCTTCAACATCTCACAGACCTCACTTGTCCACTGTGGGTAGTGGTCATTTCTATAACATCTCACAGACCTCCACTGGACAGTGGTCATTTCTATAACATCTCACAGACCTCCACTGGACAGTGGTCATTTCTATAACATCTCACAGACCTCCACTGGACAGTGGTCATTTCTATAACATCTCACAGACATCCACTGGACAGTGGTCATTTCTATAACATCTCACAGACCTCCACTGGACAGTGGTCATTTCTATAACATCTCACAGACCTCCACTGGACAGTGGTCATTTCTATAACATCTCACAGACATCCACTGGACAGTGGTCATTTCTATAACATCTCACAGACCTCCACTGAACAGTGGTAATTTCTATAACATCTCACAGACCTCCACTGGACAGTGGTCATTTCTATAACATCTCACAGACCTCCACTGGACAGTGGTCATTTCTATAACATCTCACAGACCTCCACTGGACAGTGGTCATTTCTATAACATCTCACAGACCTCCACTGGACAGTGGTCATTTCTATAACATCTCACAGACATCCACTGGACAGTGGTCATTTCTATAACATCTCACAGACCTCCACTGAACAGTGGTAATTTCTATAACATCTCACAGACCTCCACTGGACAGTGGTAATTTCTATAACATCTCACAGACCTCCACTGGACAGTGGTCATTTCTATAACATCTCACAGACCTCCACTGGACAGTGGTCATTTCTATAACATCTCACAGACCTCTGTGATCTCGCACGAGATAACCAAGTGTGAACAAAATTGTCTCTGCCTTCTTAAAACAAATAGACGACCGGCCACATCAAAGACATTCCACTTCACAAGTTCTTCTTCTTCTTTCTTATCTCCACTCAAAAATTAGGGTATCAAGCTTGTAAAACCATCATGACTGGGTGAAGTAGAATGCGTCTGCCTTTGTCATTAAGACTGGGAGCACTACTCAGTGGCAGGCCGACT